ACGCCCCTCAAGGCAAGCCCGAACAAGTCTATGTTAGGGTCTGAAATTCTTATTTCTCACATAAAAAATAATGATTTTATAACTTTCATTGCCTTTTAAGAAGATATTTTATTGTAATGAATGAATGAACAACATTAGCAAATAGGGGATTCTCGGAGGTTCGGTTCGCTCGCGAATTGTTCGGGCTTGCCTTGAGGGGGGTGGTCGGGGTCCGGGGGCGGAGCCCCCGGCCCAGCCGTTAGACTCAAGAAAAAGCAAAAGCGCAAAATTTTAAAAAGGCGCATGTCTGGGCTGAGGCACAAGGCGCACACTTGTGTGCCTAGGCGCGCCTTTTAAATCACTGATCAAAACATGTAATAATAAAAAAGAAAAAGTCAAAATGGCAAGTAATTACATTCGTAAAGAAGAGAAAAGGCTAGAAGACTAAAATGTACAACTGTACTTCTTCTACTGATTCCCTGAAAGTTTATTTACTAATTCTACTTTTTTAGAAAATTTCCCTGGTTTTCTGGATTTTCTAACTATCTTAGAAAAATTAGCAACACATATCCCCAAAATTTCCCTAGCGAAATATCCTTCGATATTGAAATTTTTTTAGATAAGTAAGCTTCAGTTTAGAAGATATAAAGCTTGACCTTTAAGTTAAAAGGTCTTTAATATTGAAATTGTGAACCATGGTCACAGCCAATAGCACACAAACAAAAGGGTGAACTAAAATTTGAAGCAACAGCATTGGATTAACAGAATCAGTTTTTTTTCCAACACAAACTGACAGAAACAGGGAAAAGAAAACAAGCAACAGATAACCAGATAAACCAGAAAACCAAATAGGGAAAACCAAGTTAATGAAAGATAACAAGAACTACAGAACTAGAAAAAAGATATTAATTAACAGATTTGAACACAGCATCACCATTCAGCATTATCTTCATCATTGTCCTCAGTCTTCTAGCTATATACCATCTTGTCGGGAATAAGGTGATAAAAAAGAACAAAAGAAAAGGAAAAAAGAGATAAGAGCACAAATAGCTCTAACAATACCACATACCTAATCTCTAAAGAGAGAGACGCTTTTCCAGTCAATCTGATTTTTAGGTTGTGCTTCACCCACAACCAGTTGGTAGACATATGTATGTTCTTGAGACAGTTGACCTAAGGTCAGTCTACATATTTACCAGCAATTGTGCCATTGCCACTACTAAGCCATAGAAAGTTATCAAGGAGCAGATCTTGGGAGGGATACCTAATCTTTGTTATTTCTTGCACAAAGTGGCCACTCTAATACTCTAACCCATATTATCATCTTTGTTAGCCCTAAGATTTTCCTATTGCACCAAGCAATGGCCCCTAATTTGTATAGTTACTTAAGAAAATTAATAAGGTATGGGGTATATAAGGAGCAGGGTATTTTAATTTAGCAAGTCTGCTATTTTGGCTACTGCAATAGTGTATTCCATCACCCCCTTTAGTAATACTTACCCTTTTTTTGAAGATAAGGTAAAATATTTCATTATACTGAAAACACAAAACATTTACAAATCCCTGCTAGGTAAGGCACTAGGCAGGGCAAAGAAATTCCTTGTGCAACCCAAAAACCCATTTCAATTCAACTAGATACAACCTTTAGTAGTAACTACCTAAGCTACAGAAGACTCTTTTTGACCAATAGTTACCATACCCCAACAAACAAATTTTTTTAAAATATCCCAACAATCCCCACTATTTTCAAAAATTCTACATAATATAAATCATAATAAAAAAGAATGGACATACCAGGTATGGTTATGAATAAGAGGAGCAAAGGCACTAGCTACAAAAATGAACTGCTCATTCAAGTGGACAGCTAGGTCTAGGGCTGCAACTTTCGTTGGAAGATTCAAACAGGCGAGAGGGGGAGGGAGGAAAAAGAATAAAAGAAGTGGAAGGGAAGAAAAATACAGAAAAAAGAAAGCTGGGGGAGGAGAAGGAGGTGGAGTTCGGAACAGGGTATACAACAGAAAAAGAAGGAACTCTGGCAGTCCCCAGAGTCCAGAAGAAGCAGCTCCAAAAGCTGGGGGCAGAAACCGAGAGAGCGAGAGAGTTCAGACCAGAACCATAAGAACCAAGAAGCAACAGAAGCCATGGAAGTAGTACAGAATGGAGAGGTGAACTTTAACAAACTAGTGGGGAGGGAGGTAGAGATAGGAAAATCCCTTGGTTTAGTTTTTTGGGGAGGAAAACGCTTTGCAAAAATAGCTTTTGAAAAGTTTGAGAAAAATAAAAGAGAAGAGAAGAAGAGAAGGGAAGAAATTCTAGAAAAAAAATAAGGGGTGGGATGAGGAAGGGGAAGAAGAAGAGGGCCTGGATGACACTGAGTGACTTTTGGGGGTCGGGGAAAGCGAGGGGGAGGGGGAGAAGATGAGGATACTTTGCTGGAATATGAGGGGTTTGAGAGAAGGGAGGAGGAGGGAGTTAGTGAGGAATTTGAATCTGATTTGATTGAGAATTTCTGGGGCACTTTGGAGCTGAATCCATAGAGCTTTGATTCTTTTTCACTTTGATCTGACCTGTATGTGGTTTGTCAACTTGACAACCATTTGTTGAGATGTACTGCTTTTTTGTTTTAATAAAATTTTCATTGTTATCCTTCAGAAAAAAGGACTGCAACTTGGGTTAGGTTAGCCCAAACCCTACCCGAAAAAGTTGGGTAAGGTTGGGTTGAAGTTTGGGTCATGGTTAGGGCTGAAAAGTATGAACATGAAATAACTTCGGGTTGGATTAGGGTTGAGGCCTTGGTCAACCCAACCCAAACTAAACCTGACTTAGCTTCATATTTATATTTATAATTAGGGTAAATTGCTAAAACCTCCCCTGAAGTTTTTGACAGTTGCTTGAACCTCCCCTAAAGTTTAGTAATTGCAACTCACCTCCTCTAAACTTTTTGGCACAGTTGCAAATAGACCCATCTGTTAGAATCCTCTAACAAGAGGCACAAGAATGTCTGAAACACCCCTGCAGTTACTTTTAACCAAAATGTTTATATTCCAGCTCTTCTTTTCATGTCAATCACTACCCCAAGCTCTTCTAATCTCTTATTTGAAATTGATTTATTTTCTAAATTTGCCCTTCATATCAATCGCTCAACAGTAAACTGTAACTTTAAACTCTCTTTTTTTGTTATTTGTTCATAAAGTTTGTATGTTTTTACGGTAGAAACCAGCCTCAGTAGTAACTGCATGGGTATTTTGGACATTTCTGTGCCTCTTGTTAAAGGATTTTAACAAAGGGGGTCTACTTGGAACTATGTCAGAAAGTTCAGGGGAGGTGATTGCAATTACCAAGCTTCAGTGGAGGTTTCAGCAAAGGTGATAAACTTCAGGGATGTTTCAGCAACTTACCATTATAATTATTATGTAAACATTTACTTGTGTATGTCAACAACTTTAAGTTTAAAGGTGAAATTTCTCAAAAGCATTATAGCTATGTTCTTTTACATATAATAATGCTAAAACTAAATTGACCTCAACCTTTGAGTATAGAAAATAAGAACATTTGGCAAAAGGAAGTAGAGAAATTAGGCCAACCTGAGCCCAACCCAAAAACATTGGGTTGATCAGGGTTAGGGTTAGGGCTAGGTTGAGGGTTCCACAGCTTGGACTGGGTTAGGATTGACCTCAATCCGACCCAACCAGACCCAACATGCACCTCTAGCTAGGTCTGACAACTGTTGCTGACTCAGTGACTAGAGATTGAATTACCAGATTGAACTGGTTTGGACTTCGGGGATACCAGGCCCAGATACAAATATATAGTCACTGAATAGTAGAAACAATCTTATATTATGACCACTATTATAAGCTGCTCTTTATATCAATTCTCTTATCCCAACTTGTGGGAAAAAGAGCTTCTTTTAAATGCTTGAAAAATTCTTAAGTTTGTGATAAAAATAATAAATAATTTAAACAAAACTGTGAGCATACCTGCTCTTTTGCTAAATGTCCGAAGGACAATCAAGTTCTCATGCTTCTTCACCCATTTCATCCTAGATTCCATTCCAGAAAACTCGATGTATGCTTCGTCCAGCACAACCAGTATGGGCAGATCAAGAATCTTCAAGAGATCATCATCACTTATTATACTGAAAAACAGTGAATAAGATGAGAATAAAAACTTGTAACAGAACTTGTAACTCATGATCAACAGGTTGCAATTAGGAATATCATTTTCCTAAGGTATCTTTAATTAAAACAGTACATGATTGCAAAATCAGCAATCCTTAGTATGTGTGTTTATCTGACTTGATTAGATCACACCAAGAAGGATAATAATAAGAAGAGAAAAAATTGAGAGAACTGTCATAGGGGTAGGTGTTCCCCTCTGTTTGGTAATTATACTTGTCTCCAAAAGAAATGAAAAAATATAAATATGCCCCTGCTACCTAAGACATAATAACAAGCAATAAAACATGGAAAAAAATATAAAAGTATCATCCAAATAAACAATCTACTCTCTCAACACTCCCACTCAAGCTGAGAATAGATATCAATAATGGCCAGGCCAGCTTGCCTAAACTATGCACTACCTTTGACTTGCCACTCCATTTATGAATACATCTTGTGAACATCAGGAAACACCTTATTTCAGCTGATATGGAATCACCACCCATCTTTTGATTAAATTGGCAGTGATGGGCCTCCCAGGTTATTTTCACTAAAATTACTTGGTTCCAAATAGTGACTCCATACATGAGGGGGCATGGTCTAAACCAAACTGAGYAAAATTGGATCAGAAGAGGGAAGGGGTTAGGCACCCCTATCCCGTTTCGGTAGGTAGGATTCACATGTAGAAGGCCAAACAACATAGGCATAAGCAAAACAAAAGTAACAAGAATTAATCAAATTAAGCATTCAAGGTTATTTAAAAAAGAGAGAGAGCTTAACCACCCACTGTTTTCCCAACTAACCAAACATGATAGCAAAAACAACATAACATCCTCTGATCACTACCAAAGCAATATCAACAGAACAAGTTTATACCAAACACATCATCCAATTGGGCGCATTAATGAGATGAGAATTATTCAGCTACTATATGAGTTGAACATCTACTGATAAAGGATGGGAACCACTCAAAACAATAAACATGATGTTAGTTAAAGCAGTGCTAAATATGGAAGTGAAAGAACATAATGTGCTCACTAACAGAGGACAAACAATTTACTATTCTATGCATCTACAAAGAAAATTAGCAGCCAATTCTGACCATTGTCCACAGGAAACTAATCCAATAAAATCAAATAATAAATAATCGCTTGGATGCTAATTAAATCAAACCACTTAAATCTGGGTTAGTGTCAACAGGTTCAGCCTCTAGAGGGTCAAAAGAAAGATAAGCTGAGGCAGGGTTTTAAGTCTAGACAAAGACAGAGATTAAATGAACAAAAGAGCTTTTAAGAAAACTGTAGTTGTTCAAGACTGCTATCAGTCTTGAACACTAAGAAATTTCAGGTTCGAAAAGAAGAGAAAGTGAAGAGGAAAGAGGAGAAAGAGTAGAGAGAGAGCAGTAGAACACAAACTTTGAAAGGAATGCTATTAATAATTCTGCCGCCGCCACTTCTATTAATATTTAT